GCGCAAAAGCGCCAAATCTAGCAAACGCGCCCATTTAACAGCGCGCCAAATCTAGCGTACGCGCTGATTTCAGATTGCGTAAGTTTATATAGTTCTATATTTCTTAAGACGCCATTGAAATACTAGTTTAATTTTTTAATCCTTTTTCTGATTTTAAATCCTTTTTTTGATATCCTATAGATTTAACAATTTGGGAATTGCCCGTGACGAAAGGTCGGCAATAGAATTTTGGGTAAAGTGCAGAATCACCCACTGCTTGACGCGTTTTTAAGAATTGCACACACTCGGTATCCATGTGCACATCGACCTATTTTCTCTTAAAAATAAATCCTAGAATTGCACAAAATCGGCACTGCGCACACCCTTGACTTTATCTATGTACACATTGACATATTTTCACTTAAAAAGTAAAAGAAAATTTACAAAAATCCAATTGTTTTTAACCTTGTAAAAAGCGGGAACAAATAAGTGAGCGATCTGCACTTTACCGAGAATATTTTCAAAGAAAAGGCATCTTCCATTATAGAAAATTATGTTTGAACAACCAACGAGATGAAATTATGCTTTAGCGATAAGTCGGTAGCGAAATAGCGGTGCAGGCATCCATTCAGTTATGTTTAGCAATTTTTATATAAATTATAATAATGATCTGAAATAGTTATTTACTCTTATGCTTCCATTCAGTCATGTTTTTAGCCTTTGTTCATATAAATTATAATAATAAAAAAAGTATTATATGAAATTAACCTCTCATCTAAATTAAAAGATCAATCTTAAATAGTTATTTACTATTATACTTCCTTTCTTGCCGCAATTATTAGGGTTTCCGCAATTATTTTTGGTAGCAATGGCATCAACAATAGTTTGGCGATTTTTTACGGACCTCGAAACCGAATAGTACCGCGATTTGTTGCCAAATGCTATAAGCATGCACAAAAAAGAAACTGACTACGGTAAACGGTAATTCCTTCAGTATCTGCATAAATTATTTAATATATGCATATAGGAAGAATTTTATATAAGTGTGCAATTTATTACAGTATTTAATTAAATAAACTGTAAAATTTCATTCACTGTTTTATTGAATACAGTTTTGTTAACAATTTATTCAAAGAAATAATTTAACGTACCAAACGGCATGAACATACCAAAAAATTCATTTCTCACAAACCGTTTCTGGTGACCACCGTTCAGCAATTGTTGCTAATAATGCCTCATACTCCATATCACGGTGCCTCAACATTTCCAACAACCAAAGATTGCTCTTATGTAACATATAATTGCATAATTATACCAATTTTCATTAATTTTTTCGCTTGGTAAAATGCACTTTTTGGAAAAACTAAGAATCTTTTTCAGTTTATGTTTATTGAAAATAGTAAGTATAATAAGTATTTGCAGTAAAAAACTTATATCTTAAAAGCGAAAATTTTCGCTATCCGGAAAAACGTGGGTGCTACTTTGGTAGACGGTTGCACGGATTTTGGCGATTTTCCTATGGTGAGTAATACAACTTATGGTAAACCCATTGCTGGATAAGTTATTTATGGTAACCGATACTTTGTTGTCATTTTATTTTTAAAAAAATGCGTTTTATTGTGCACAAATTCCGTGTTTTAAATATTATTTATGGGCTTCTAAATAATAAAAATCAATTTAATTTTGCATTTTTATTTGAAGGAAAAATATTCTTTTTTATCATAATTTATGAATAATTTTATGTTGTGGATTGATGTAATCAATGACGTCACCTTACTTTAAAAGTAATTCGGTTTTAATATCCTATAAATTTAATCTAATGTTTTAAACATTATTTATGGATCTTAGATTAAAATACAATTAAAATACAATTTAATTTTGCATTTTTTTAAAAAATCATTTTATTATGTATGGATTTTTAAATAATTTTAATTCTAGCCGTGATGTAATAAGCTCTCTGATTGGTTATAGAATATTTGTGCATTAACGAGCTGTAATGAGCTCCCTGATTGGTTGCTGACAATTTGTGCATTTCCGCGTCGTTTTAAAATTTAATTCATATCTTCGAATTCCTTCAAAGATGTCTTCAAAGATGTTATCTAAATTATGATTCTGATTTTTTTGTGGTATTTATCAATAAAAAACAGGTTAAATATTAAAAAAAATGTAAGTACATATTTTCTTTTATTTTATAAATGTATACTTCAATTTTTGTTAAAAAAAATTAATACACTATTTTTAGAAATTGCTGAGATAATTATTGTCCATATGTTTTAATGTTTAATTATATTCTATATAACGTATTTTAAAGTATTTGAATTTAATAATATTCTAATTCTTGTAAATGTTGGTATGATGGTTTTTTAATTCGATATTCAATTTCAGTAATATTTTAATCTAATTAAACGTTGGCCCAATGTTTTTATAGCGGTGTTTTATTCTCTCTTCTTTGCTATATGAAAGTAATTATAACCTTACTTTAGTATTTATACTCATAGTAAAATGTATTTATTTACACTTGCCTGCCATCTTAAAAAACGACATTTTCAACAAAAAATTAATCCATTACTTTTAACGATATTTATTTTTTTTTTTAAGTTTCGAATACTTTATGCGTAAAAACAGCTTTTTTCAAGATGGCTGACGTTTGTAAAAATCGCGCCAACAATTGCGCCAACGTAAATCGCCAAAAATCCGTGCAACCGTCTACCAAAGTAGCACCAAAACGTGAACTTCGACGACATAGGAAAAGCCGTTATCTTTTAAAATGACATTAGAAGAAACGCGCATGCTTAAATCGCTGACTGTAAGTATTTGTTTCTCGCACCTTGTTGTTGTTGTTGTTGACTGATACTCACTTGTCAAAACCTATATTCAGCCCAAGGCCGCGAAATTCCTCGTGGCAAAGAGCGCAAGATTACGCCTGTAGTTGGCAACAGCCCTGAGCACCTTAGAGGTGACAATGCGAGGTGCTACTTTGGTAGACGGTTGCCCGGATTTTTGGCGATTTACGTTGGCGCGATTTCTACAAACGTCAGCCATCTTGAAAAACGCTGTTTTTACGCATAGTAAAGTATTCGAAACTTTAAAAAAAAAATAAATATCGTTAGAAATAATGGATTAATTTTTTTTTGTTGAAAATTCGTTTTTTTAAGATGGCAGGCAAGTGTAAATAAATACATTTACTATGAGTATAAAATACTAAGTAAGGCTATTATTACTTTCATATAGCAAAAGAAGAGAATAAAAACAACCGCTATAAAAACATTGGGCCAACGTTTTAATTGTATTAAAATATTACGTAAATTGAATATCGAATTAAAAACCATCATACCAACGTTTAAAAGAATTAAAATATTACTTAAATTAAATACTTTAAAATAAGTAAATAAGAACGCTTAGTACACTAGAGCTAAAATGACAGCAATTAGTTTATTGTTGTTAAAAAAGGAGGAATGTCTAATAATTTTCTTACCGTTACAACGGTTATTTCTTCCAACATGACCACAATATCATATACGGCCGTCTCAGAATCGGCTCTTCTAACGGTCTTCATCTGTGATCTACATTTTCGCACTTCATTGAAGAAACAATTAGCGACGTTTCCTTCAAAAATTTAAAATAAATTTCCTCCGACCCTTGTAAGAATTTATAAATAAATCTTTGATTAGGAAAGTCAGGCTGGCGAAAATAAGGTCTCAAAGGACAATTTTTTGATTCCGAAACCAAAAATTCTTGGTACTTATCCAAAAACAGCATTCAATCTTTGAAAGGAGTCATTTTTGAAGGAATTCGAAGATATGAAATCTAAGGATTTTAAATGGCAGCGATGAATAATGCACAAATTTTCAGCAACCTATCAGGAAGCTGATTACAGCTCCTTAATGCACAAATATTCTACTAACCAATCAGGGAGCTGATTACATCACGCATAGAATTAAAATTATTTAAATTAATCAATACATAATAAAATCATTTTTTTAAAAAAAATGCAAAATTAAATTGTATTTTAATATTTAACAGCCATAAATAATGTTTAAAACATTAGATTAAATTTATAGATATTAAAACCAATTACTTTTAAGTAAGGTGACATCATTGGTTACATCATCCACAATATAAATTTCATAAAATATGATAAACAATAAAATTTTTATTTCAAATAAAAATGCAAAATTAAATTGATTTTTAACATTTAGAAGCCATAAATAATATTTAAAACACGGAATTTATGCACAATAAAACACCATATTTTTTAAATAAAATGACAACAAAGTATCGGTTACCATAAATAACTTATCCATCAATGGGTTTACCATAAGTTGTATTACTCGCCAAAAGAAAAATCGCCAACAAATCGCCAAAATCCATGCAACCGTCTACCAAAGTAGCACCATATTAAACAGTAAAACTTTTAAAAACAAACACAGTATTTCAAAATTAAATTTTAAAAAATCTGGCTACACTAAATTTGCGCTCTTATAGTTACCGAAATAAAGCCGTAGGTTTGCCACAAGAAAACATACAGCCGGAAACCACAACCAAATTAAAATCGCGCCAAATAAAAAACTCTCGCCTAGCTTGGCGCTCACCCCTATTATGGAATTTTAACCATAATAAGATTAAAAAATTTTTTTAACAAATTTATTATCAATATTCACTCATTTCTGTCGTTTTCGTGCCAAAAACGGTAATATAACGGATGTCGTAAAAAATACGACGCGCGCGTGCTGGAAGGTTTAAACTAATTATTAAAGTTAAAAAAAAATTTCGGATACGTATTGATACAATATGCTATTATATCGGATTTTGAGTCATTGATGGTATATTATGAATGAAAAGAATTACATATTTCTACTTATGATGCTCTTGATTGCAGATTATTGAGCAAAATCTGTGATGAATTTATCTAGAAATAATTGGAATGTTTAAAATTAACGAACAAAGAAAATTATAATTACTAACAGTTATCTAAAATAGCAATGTATGCAATTTAAAAGGAATTCGGTAATTGCGCTTACTTTTTTTAGAACTTTCCAAGAAGCAGCCGATGAACTTTTACGAAAACAGTTCTAGTTTATTAGTTTCTTAAGGTAAACAAAACCCAATCCGAATTTTAATCTTCTTCGGTCATATTTCCGATTAAATCGTCACAGATTTCAATCTATAAGATGACAGATTTTAATAAAACATTGCAGCGAGATTGGAAATGTTTCAAACGGAACCAAACGATAGCGCATAAAGCTTTTACGAGGAAACGTGTCTATGCGAAGAAGCCTGTCTGTGTTGTAATAATGCTTCTTCTCCAAGTTATTCAAAATTTGTTTCAGAATTCTATTCTTTCATTTTTGTTTTGTTTTTTTGTTGAGATTGCCTAAGTGTAGTATTATTTCATGCATTATTTCATTTTATTTGACTGCCTCTGAAATCGTTAAAAAAGGAAAACGTTCATGAAATATTAGTTTTGAAAAACTGAAATCTTAAAATAACCATAGATAAAATAATAATAAGAGATCGCTCATTGTGAAATAAAACCTGATACTAGCCAGAAAGTTGGCAACAGCCTCACCACATGACTTCCTTGCACGGAATATTAAATTATACGTATTTTTTCTTGAATTTCATTTAAATTGATTGGATTGAATTAAATGTACTTCGTCGACAGCGCATAAACCACAATAGAATAAATGCACTCTTTAAAATTCACTATATTTGTTTACTATAACGACATTATGAATGCACAAAATTTATATCATTTGAAGAATTATCTTATCGTTGCCACATATTCTATTTAAATACTATAATAAAGCTAGAACGATGTAATGTATGAAAGAAATTAAGCAAGCAAAACAGAAAGGAAACAGTTTTTCACAGACGATTTAGTATTTCTCATTCAATTAATTCAGTTCTCACTTCCTGACAAGACAAAAATACATAAAAATTCAAAATATCTATATTAAAAATTACGAAGTAAATCTTAAACACTTATTTCCTCGAATAAATTCCAGAATGGATTAAACATGTTTTCATTCGCAATAATAAATGAATGCGTTATCTTTGTTGTTGCGAAGCTACTAAGTCTCTCTAGATTGGCAACAAATCTACTATTCTGCTGTTTCAAATGTAAGCAAATATGTCCGTCATGTTATTTAAAACTTAACCGCACATAAACAGCTTTAAAATTGCTGATAATTGTACAATTATTGCTTCCAGATTTACGAAATTCATAAAAACTTTAACCGGAATATAAGAACAACATAATTCAATCATTTTTAAAGCAAAAAATGCACAACTTACAAACATATAATAGTAAAGAAACTAAGATCACTGAACCGGTTAACAGAATGAATATGTATAGATATATATATATATTTATATATGTTTGGTGCGGCCGATTGCAACCAAAATACGAGGTGCACATCTACATGTTTATAGCAGTCCTATATACAAAATTTCAACGTTCTGAGGCTACTCGTTTTTGAGTTATGCGAGATACGTACGTACGTACATACGTTCGTACACACGCCACAAAACATTCTCTTCAGAATTCATTTTAAAGGAGTTTTATAATTCTTTTGGAGGAAAAGAGTCTTTTATTCTGTCCTTACGTACAGATGTCACGCAAAAACATCGTTAAATTGCATTCGATAGTGGTCAAAATGGATATTTTAGTTGAAATATGATGCCTGAAAGTTTTCGCGATTACAGTACTACCTTTGTACTTCGTACAAGGGAGTAAAAAAGGAAGAAGAGGAAAATTAATATAATTAAAAAAAAGAAAAAAAATCTAGCTTTTTGGTCAGAAATTTCTAAGACTTATTTAGCTCTAAAAAGTTTTTCAAGCTTAAAAGCTTATTCCAGATGTTGGGTACTGTGTTCTGTTTTTGAGAATATAAAATGTTACATATAAAAAAACATTCATAATACTGTTGACGCTCATTACCATTTGAATAATTAAAAAAATATGAATAATTGATATCTACCTCTTTAATCACAGATTATGGCTTAGAAAAATATAATTCTGTTTCAGTGGTAACAGATTTCGAGCCGAAACCTGTCTGGAGAATTGCCAGATCCTTAAGAACCAAAAGGGCTCGATAAGTGGGTCCTCTTGAACATCATGGACACACTCACTTCGCTTAAAAATAAGTGTCCGAAGAAGTACATAACACTTCATAACCTAGAAAGTGGATTTTTCTGCATTTAATACGCACTGAATTTTTGTAATGCGACAAATATATACCACAGTAAAAATACTTGCCCACAGAAATTTCTGAGCGCCTTTATTTTTACAAATGTTAATTCTAGATATACAATTCCAGGTACAAAAATATATGAAGAAAGGCAAACATTCGCGTTTTAGCATTTTTACTTCCTTGTACGAAGTAAAAAGGAAGTATTGTAATCACGAAAAGTTTCAGGCAGCATATTTCAACGAAAATATCGCATTTTGACCTCTTTCAAATGCAAATTAACGATGTATTACATTTCTGTATGTAAGGACAAAATAAAACACTCTTTTCCTCCAAAAAAATTATAAAACTGCTTTAAAATGAATTCTGAAGAGAATTTTACGTGGCGTCTGTACGAACGTATGTACGTACGTATCTCGCATAACTCAAAAACGAGTAGCCTCAGAACGTTGAAATTTTGTATATAGGACTGCTATAACATGTAGATGTGCACCTCGTATTCTGGTTGCAATCGGCCGCACCAAACGTATATTATATTTATATATATATATCCACTCTGTTACCCGGCTCAGTGATTTCAGTTTCTTTACTCTTATATGTTTGTAAATTTCACATTTTTTGCTTTAAAAATGATTGAATTATGTTGTTCTTATCTTCCGGTTAAGGTTTTTATGCCTTTAGTAAATCTGTATGCAATATTTTTAGAATTATCAACAATTTTAAAATTGTTTAAGTGCCGCTAAGCCTAATAATGTTTTTGATGGCGGCCATTGCTCTTGTTTACATTTGAAGCAGCAGGATAGCGGATTTGTTGCCAATCTAGAGAAAATTAGCTTCGCAACAACAAAGATAACGCCTTCATTTATTATTTAAATCATGCTTAATCCTTTCTGGAGTTTTTTGGAGGAAATAAGCGTTTAAGATTTACTTTTTAATACAGATATTTTGAGTTTTTATGTACTTTTGCCTTGTCGCGAAGTGAAAACTGAATTAATTGAATGAGAAATACTCACTCGTCTGTGAAAAACTGTTTCTTTTTTGTTTTGTTTGCTTCATTTCTTTTATACATAGTTCTAGCTTTATTATAGTATTTGAATAGAACATGTGGCAACGATTAGAAAATTCTTTAAATGATATAAATTTTGTGCATTCTGAGTTATAATATGAACGAAATATAATTCTGTTAAGTAAACCTAGCGCCAGAGTGTCGCTATGGTAAACAAGGTGAATTTTAAAGAATGCATTTATTCTGTTGTGGTTTATGCGCTGTCGGCGAAGTAGGTTTAATTCAATCTAATAAGTTTAAATGAAATGCAAGAAAAAATGCGTATAATTTAATTTTCCGTACAAGGAAGTCATGTGGTGTACACATCAGGTTTTTTAATTTAAAAATTCAATTTTGTAAAAATTACGAAATTAAACTTTTAATATCATCTTCCGTTTTTATTCTAGCACAAAATGTGGAACACTCCTATGACAAAAATAGACTGAGATATTTAATTTTAAAAAATATGACATCCTGTTCAAGCCTAGTAGAGAGATTGAAAAAAGAACTATTAGAATGTGTACGTAACTAAGAATGAAGTATCATTTGAGAAAAATGTTGATAATATTAATAAATTAACTGATTACAAATTGTTTCAACAAGTAAAACTTGTTTAGAGAATCTTATAGAACTCGTGTTCTAGAATAAAATGGCAGATTTTCCTAAACCTCAGCGGATTTGAAGTGAAGCGATAGATGAATTCTTTTACACCAGCGTAAAAGAACTGAACTGAAGAAACAGTTTTTGTTTTCGACTCCCGACTGTATGCGCGAGTCTGCGACGCAGTAATGATGGATATGATGACTTTAAATGTATAATGTATTTTGCTATTAATTAAATGGTATTTAATCGTTAACAGATCTTTTAATGATTTATTTCAACAACTCGACAGTTGTTAAGCATCGGCTAGATGCGTAATAGCCCCTTTAGAATATTCGATCCTAAAAGCAGCCTTTAATATCGATATATAACCAGCTCGTAACGTTTTTGCATACATTTAAAATGAAAAACATTTTTATTCAAATAACTTTTTTAAACTTATATCATAATAAAACTACATCATAATGCTCATAGCGCAATTTTATCATTTGAAAACTTGTAAATTATCTGTGTGAAAATTTTTTTAGAGGATCAAATACAACAAAATTATAAATTAAAGTATGTTACACACTAGTAAATCGCAAAGAATATCTCTGAATAACATTAAGGAGGAGGAAAAAAAACCTACTTCAAGTTACCCTAATTTATTTTTTAACTGACTGCTCAAAAAACACCAGAAAGATGTCAGTTAAAATTTTAACGCAAAATACGTAATTAAATATCTCGGTCAATTTTTGTTGTAATGAGAGTCAAATCTTTTGTGTTTTACTTTTTTAAATAAGTATAAAAGTTTACTAATATAACTGGGGGGACCATAAGGAAACACTAGATTTCATAATTTTCATGCAACTGATTTTTCCTTCACGTTTTAAAATGCCATAAGATGAACTTAAAACCTTTTTTAAACCATTTTTAACATACCTATGATCAACGCTTACGAAATTAAAAGGCCGCGTATGTATTTTTATGGATACGGTGTATATTAAGAAGGGAATAATGTATTTGATTTGCTCTATATGTTTTATTTGTGCGTTAGTATATCTCTATGCTCTAATATGCACATTTTTCCTCTGCATATAAATTACTATGTCGAAATTGTGTTTCAGATACTGATTCAGAATATAACTTTCATTAAGCTAGCGACAATAGACTAAAGCTCGACTCTTACGCAATATCATGTTTCAACACACAAGTCTGAAATTCTTGAAAAGAGCTTTCTGCAATCAGTATAAGCGGAAAGCCAATTCACTTCAAAAGTGATATGTATGCAAATATCAACCCTATGACGTCAGAGGATATGTCACATGGACCTTATAAGAAATAGACTAACCCAAACGGGTTTTCTCCCTCGTCTGAAGCGTTGCC